TAGCTATACTGTTCATTGGCCAGCTCAGACAAGTAGCCAGAGCTGCTGATGTTATACTGCATCTCTGACTGCAGCTTTTCTGTGTGGTTCATGTAGCTTTAGCCTCTTCAGCTACAAGGTACAACAGAAATTTAAACACCAAGCCAAGATAAGGGGCCAGCTCATCCCAAGAGGTTAGAGGATACAGCAGCAACTGGACAGAGTCCACACCTTGAAAAGAAGGTACCATTCTCATGTAAGCTGTCCCCATACCTCGTCTCTACATAAGGATATACCACTGCTCCCCCCCAGCACACACTTTTGCCCCAGCACTGCAAATTAGCAGCACAGCACATGGTTTAATGTGCAAGGTATGCAGTTTGTGGTGCTGCAAAGAGGTTTACAGCACTTCAAACCACACATGCATGTGCATCTGGATGTGGCCTTATAGGCTAACTAGATCAGATATGTATAGCACACTCTTTCGTAAGCAGAGGCCTTACTTCATCAGACACCACAAAGGGACTTCAGGAAGCAAAAATGTCCCTTCATGGCATCTGATGAAGTACACTTTCTGCTTATAATAACTTATATCTCTCTGATCTAGTTAGTCTAACATATAACATGCAAATCTACCCTGCCCTCTGCCATTTTTTTTTTAAGATGACACTGACAACCAAAAGGGAAGGGGCAGAGGGAAGAGGACTTCCACAGTTCATAAGGAACTAAAGCTGTTCTGAAAGAAGGGTTTCCACTGGATAGGAATGGAATACTTCAGCATTTTGTTCACATTTGGAACACAGTCCTATAAAAAGAGTCTGGTCTCCCAGTCAGGGCATAAGCTAAGCCCTGGAAGGCTGGGGGGATGGGGGTCCTCGACTCAGAGGTCTAGCAGGTGGACCTCCTAGAAAGACTAGGCAGGTCTCACAGGCAGGCAGGGTGAAACGGGACCCCTGTCAATAAATGGAAGTATTGCTACCAGGTGTTTGCGTAATTACAAACCAGGAAGTTCTGACTTTTTTCTTCAGACCTTTTCTGATCAGCTTTAATATTTAGACCTTGTTGCCTGGATGAACCAGGGCCCTTTTCCCCAACCACCTCTTTGCCTGCCAAGAAAAGTAAGGCTATATTTCCTCACCTTGTCAAATTCAGGTGGTGGGTTCTTCCCTCTGCACAAGTTTGACAAGGCCCAGACAGCATTTCGAGTCATTGTCAACCTGGTGGACTTTGTGAGAAGCCTAGGAAGAGAATAATCATGCATTACACTGCCAAGCCATAGCAGTGCATAGCATTTAAGTGCCTTTAAAACAAGGAGATGATTTGCAGTGAGGGAACAGAATGCAAATTTGAGAAGGCCAGAAAAAAAAGTTGCACTGCTTGAGAACCTGTTCTTCAGACTAAGTACTTCACCCAAACCTTTCATTTTGAGCATAAAAAAGATGTAATGCATCTACCCCGAAGACGGAAACAAATGCTGTTGTTTCACAGTGCAAAGCAACATCAGACAGAAAGCAAGTGCAGTCTTCAAACAAAATTGCAGATGGGAATGTTCAGGCTAGCAGAACACAGCTTCTCTGAGCCTGAATCTAGCCAGGTAAGCACACCTATTCTTAGAGGGCCACTGATCTGATCCTAAAGAGCGACCTGTATAATCAGAGACTTGCAAGGCAAGTCATATGAGGAAAGGCTGAGGGACTTGGGCCTCTTCGGCCCAAAAAAAAGAGAAGGCTGAGAGGGGACTTGGTAGCAGCTTACCACTACATTAGGGGAAATACATCAAGGGCTCAGCAAACAACTGTTCACCAAATCACCCTTGGGGAAAACCAGGAGTAATGGCTACAAACTCCTGGAAGACCATTTCAGGCTTAACACTAAGAAGTACTTCTTCACAGTTAGTGTGTCTAGACTGTGGAATAAACTCCCCCCAGGGGGGGGGCAATCACCTGCCCTGGAAATCTTCAAGAGGAGACTGGATGGTCACCTTGCTGGGGTCACCTGACCCCATTCGCCTTTTCTGCCTAGTGCAAGGGGGCTGGACCCAATGATCTTGTGAGGTCCCTTCCAATCTATGAATCTCCAGGGACCACAAGAAGTCAGGAACTCAATTTTAGCTTCACCTGAGGACAACAGCTCTATGCCTCTATAAAACAATCTCTTGCAACACCTTCAAGGCGACACAGCTGTACACCATTTATATTGAAATACTTCATGTGAACATCTCGTTAAACTGGCATTTCTGCCACAAATCTCTGTCCACATTGCTAGCATGAAAGATACTCTTGCTGAAAGGATGGACAGACTGACAGTTTTTAGAAACCAAATAATCTTAAATATCTTAGAGGGTGGTCACCAGCCAGTTGCCCACCCATAAAGCAGCTTCATTCTCTGTGCTTTATGGTTTATGGGCAGTGAGAAGCTTTGTCATCCAGTCTGCAGACCTCTGCAAGAAAATGGGACGGTGCAATATTGTCCCTCCCAAGCTACAACCAACTCCTTTTACCAGTCTTTTTTCTACAATGTGGCCACCACCACCAACAAAAAGCCTTTCCCTTGGTGTCTGGACAGCAGAGAGTTATCTGCTTGGTCTCTGGCATCCTGAAGGTCGAACACTAGTGTCAGAAGTGACTTAAAATTTTGTCTCCTACAATGTGCACTTCTCTTATCTTGTTGCTACTACCTCATCAAGAGCAATTTAAAACGATCCTGACAAAAATAAAATATGACTAGTACTTGAAAGCACCCTGCCTAGAAATAGACAGACAACTCAGCTAACATACTGAGGCTATGTCAGGATTTCTGATTTATATGGTGTGTGAAGACCTTCTCAACCCTAGACTGATTCTTTTAAGATTCATCCAATCAATTCCTGAAAGCTGGCGTAACTGTATCCCTTCAGGAGCTGTTCTCTGTACTTACAGCTCAGGCACTTCTAAGTGACAGGCCCCATAACTTCAGAAAGGCTGTCTGGCAAGCTGTGACAGTGCTCACGTACAGTTCACAGCAGGCATAACGATTTGTGAGAAGGCAAACCATCTGCCAAAGCTTTATCCGTTATGATTTAAGTACTACTACCTTTCTCTAATACCAATTTACAAACTGAATTTTATTCCCAAAGAACATTAGCACACAGGTAGGTGGTTCTGGTCACCCAGTTTTCATAGCAGTATGTTACTCTGCTTTAGTAAAATGGACCTTCAAGAACTATGCTGCAAATATTTATGGTTACTTACATTAACAAGGGAGGAAGAATAGCGCAGTTAAGGACATAATCTCTACACACAGAGCTGTCTCCAGCAATGTTCCCCAACGCCCAGACAGCCTGGAAGGAAAGAATAGCAGTTTTACCATTCACAGTTTCTGAACAGATGAAGAAGAGCGTATTGAGTTAGAGGCATACTTTGCAACTCCAAGTAACCAGTACAGGAATTACTGCATGAAGCCAGTCACCAGAGAGCTACACTTATTTCAAACAAACTTTGATGCTCTCTATCCACAAGAGTTGTGCACCTTTCCCACACCCCTTAAAAAAAAAAAAAATCATTGAAAACAAGGTGAACTTTACCTGTTCTTGGACATCTTCAAAATCAGAGTTTAACAGCTCTATAAAGATAGGAACTGCCCCAGCTTCAATGACTATTTTTGTTTGTTGAGAGGTTCCTGATGCAATATTTGTCAATGCCCATGCTGCTTCAAACTGAAATGAGAGACCAGCAACAATATCATAAGCAGAACAATCCTGATATGGCACACCATTTGCTATTAGTTTTACAGCCTTTACTGCTCCCATCTAATCTAGAAAGATCTATATAGGAATGATCCTGCCTCCAGCAGGGGGTTGGACTGTATGGATTCCCAAGGGCCCTTCCAACCTTACTTGTCCATGATTTATATGCACTGAAGCATACAAATGGTTTTATGGGGCTAAACTCCACTGCCCGGGCTGGTTAGTATGGACAGTGTTTGGATGACTGTTCACCAAGCATAACTATATATAACAGCTGTCAGATATAGGCAAGCTGTCGACAATTTTGAGGGTACAGAGAAGGGTGGATTGACTCACCCCATCACAGACCTTGGCCACACCCACCCAAAGCAAAAGAAAGATCAGTCCACAGATCACCAACAGTAAAAACACACTAGGGCACATCATGTCATCTTTCCTGGGGATTACTGGTTCTCTTGGGCTTGACAGATCAGCGATTCACTCCCCTGTCAGTGGCAATCCTAGGAACTGTGAACTGGGCAATACCACATGACAAAGTCTGAGAGATCACTCTCCACTTCAAAGAGTCATCTCCAGCTGCTCAGAGCAGCCCCTGACCAGGGCTTGGAGGCACAAGCTACAGTAGATGAGAGAAACTGGTTTTCTATTTGGAAGCCCAATGCTGTTACATCCTACTCCTGTGACTGGCAGGTGAGGCCAAACTGCATGTTACTGTCATCTGCCTCTTTCTTGAAGGGCTTTAACCAACTTCAAATCTTCTGGAAGACTGATCCCTAGGGTATAGGGCTTCCTGAAAGGAGGACGGTGATGGTAGCCATCAACTGTGACAGCCTGCTGTCGTCAAGAGAATGTGCAATCCTCTCCAAAAAGCTACATGTGATCTGTAGTGTCTAAGCTCTAAAGACACCACCTTTCCATGCTGGCTGTTGAGGGTTAAACATCAGAGCTCAGCAGAGAGAAGTTCTATTTGTCCTTCACAGTACTCTTCTTTACCTGTAGTGTGCAATTTTCACTTCTCTTTAGGAATTCAACAAATCTGTCCACCACTCCCAAAGTGTTTATCACTTCATCTATTGGAGGATTCGGCTCTGGAAGTACAAAACAAGGTCAAAAGGGTATTTTAGTAGCAAACAAGTAATCTCTTTCATTGCTAAATCCACTTTCACCATTTAAAGTTGTACTTGCATTGGACAGGAGAACTATCCAATAGAAAACTTTCTGTACAGGCCATCCAGTTACAAGGCAATAGGGCATTTTCTACATGTTTAAAACCAAAGAGACGGTCACACAAGGAGATCATAGTCCCATCCCCTCCTCCCAGTGCCAACTGAAAAGCAACAGAATTGCAGGCCTGTTGCATTAGGTGGAACCACTGTCCCTAAAAACAGCAATATTAATACCAAGAATAGCATCACAAATGTTTTAGACAATCTGCCTCAAACAGCTGACAATACAGCCAAGAGCAGCAGCTCAGCTTTTACCTTTTGAGAGCAATTTCCTGAATTTCTGAGTGGTTGCTAACTGCAGGTCAGAATCATCTGAGAAGAGCATTTCCACCATTTCTCTTGTGATCACTCCCTCCTATGGGAAGAGAGGAAGAAAAGCAGTGTCAGACAGAACCACCACTCCAAGCTTATTGTTACAAACTCCAGGAACATGACAACCTGTCGCTATGACTTGGAGCTTAATTTTTTTAAACCTAAATGGTAACTGAAGTCAGAACCAAATCATGTGTAAAAGTCTACGTCTCAGACGGGGTTTTGAACTTCACCACAGTAATATTCTAAGTAATTACACAGGGGTGGAAAGGCAGTCAAGAATACAAGATACGATGATCTCTCTTAGTTTGAAAGCCTTCAAGCTTGTCAGTTTTATGGGGTCTACAGTGTTAAGTCTACCTAGAAGAGGGACCAGAGTTCAGGAAGAAGTCTTACCCCTGATGTGGTAGAAGTGACATAAGAATCCATGAGGAGGCTATCAAGCATGGCAGCATCTTCATTAATGAGTTCCACATTTCTTCTTTTAAAGAGCTGTGAAGAGATAAGAATCAGCGTTGCTGCTCTAAAGCAATAGCCACCTTTTAGAAACATCACCACTAGCAAGCCTGTCTAGGTAAAATCTGTGGAACAAACCACAACCTGAATACAGCAGCAGTCACTTAAGACACTAGTTTACATTGCTGTAGATGATAATTTTGGCCTGTGAACTGGACAACAGTGGAGTAAGTCCTGCCCTCAGACAAACCCAAGAAACCTACTTACTTCACTGAGCCTTTATGGCATAAGCAAGTGCAGAATTTGACCCAGTGAGTCAGAGAGAGAAAGGAAGGACAGGTGGTAGACTGAGGCTAATGCACTGGCTGAGCTGTGCAGGAAGCTTGCAGAGTCTGCCAATTCTACGTGTTGCCCTAGCATACAACAAAGACATAGAAAACCCACACCACTTTTTTTTTTTTTTGCTTGCTTTTTTTCTGGTCCTTAAGAGCACAGTCCATTTTCTGATTTTTGACAGAGTCCTTAGAAAACAAATAAAAGCCCACAACACCATGGGCTCTGTGAAGCCTTCCCCTGATTCAATATCACAGAAAGGCAGACAGATTTCCACTGTGGCGTCAGGGGCATACACAGCAACTGCAGGTCTCAGGATGAGCAGGGAACCTTCGGAGCGCTCTTCACATGAGCCACACTGTGAACAAGCATGCGAAAAGAAAGCAGCAACATTCCAGGTCTAAACGCTGGAGGGGCAATGGGAGGAGAAGACTGTGAGCAACTCTGACTGGAGACCTCGGGCGGTTCCTGTTGCACAATACTACATACTTGCTCCAGGTAAAGCTATACTTCTCCAAGCCAAATCAGCACAGCGCGGGTTACCTGCTGTTCTCGTTTCTGTTTGCGTAGCTGAATTCCCTCCTCTTCTCTTCTCCGGCGCATTTCTTCAGGATTTAGAGCTTTGTTTTTGTAACTCTTCATTCGATAATTATCCTTCGCAGGACTCGCCATCGTTTCTACAAAGAAGTCAGAAAAGTAGTATCAGACTTTGCTTTAGTCTCTGTCCTTTCACCTGCCCACCCTGCCATTAAGGAAAGCAAGTACATGTCACAAGAAACTGCACGGTCCAATTTAAAAGACTGAGAACTGCTATCTGAAATACCCATGCAGAAGCTCCAAGCTCAGAAATGTTACTGGCCTACACCTGATGCAGTCTCTTAGAATAATGCTGCTCAACAGGCACTGCTGTAAATGTAATGCTCTGAAAAATCTCTCAACCAGCACTTGGACTTCACTATACAAAGTACACTTCTTACTGTGAAAGGGTATACTCAAATAGTTCCCTTGCCCACCAGAAGGCAGAGTGCCTGAGGCTGCTTGGGTAGGCAGCACTGTAGGTCAGTGTTTCCCAACCAGTGTGCCATGACAGTGTGCTGTCAAAAGTGAACAGGTGTGCCACAGAATTTTGCCATGGGAATGAGCTACAATAGGTATAAGAATGGGGAATGCCTCAACAGGTGTGCCGCAGAAAAAAAATTTATTAATATAACTGCCTTGGGCTGGAACTTGTTGGGAAACACAGCTGTAGATCATGCCCAAATAGCACCTTATCACCACCACTATAAGTAGCACCTTGAAGATGCCACCCACCCACCCTCTTCCATCCTCCAAGGCCAACAGACCAGGAACCTGACTGTCAGCAAAAAGCAGCAGACATTCAGCCTCTGTAGACCAGGTTGCTCTGAAGTGTAGGAGTGTAGCTAGCAGCTAAAAGTTCTACTTAGATGCATTTTATGTTGTGAAGTACAGACTTTCACAAATCAGAGCTCCCACTTTTAAAAGGCTAGGTAGCAGGCAACAGTCGATCCTCTGAATCATGGTGTACAAGTAAGAGATCTAGTCATGAATCCACTTGTACAGAGTCCTGCGACCATCACACCAGGACCTTTGACACATACGCCTAGGCAAGAGTATGGAGGAGTGGAAGTGGCCCAAGACCTGCCATCCCCCTTTAAACCACCGAGACAGAATCCAAAGGCCAGATCAAGTCCAGACATTCAGTGCCTCAATGGTTGTAGTTTCTACCAGACAAAAACAGATAAGAAATGCTGCTGACTGCCTAAGGCCTTGGCGAGGGCATTTGTCAGGCTAAGGAATAACACCCTTTCTCCAACCAAGGAGCACCCACAGGGCAGTGGGGGCTAGGGCTGAGGCACCCTATACTCACCTTACTCTGCTCGTGGCAGGGTAGCTTCCATAAAATACCAGTGTTGCAACCTCCAGTCTCACCATGTTACTGCCAGGGCCTCCAGTCTGATGCAGTTTTTGGTCATACTC